GGTAGCATCATAGTATGGGTGTAATAATTTATAGTTTCAGTTTGAACATTTACCCTAAAATGTCATATGGCATGCTTGAGTGTGATATTGTTGTGTTATAGAATTACATGCTTATGATTTTTTAATAAAAGATTTTGTAATAAAAAGGGGCATTATTTGTGCTAGACCCTGCATATATGGGTCTTGTTTTCTTACCCATTCCGCTACCCTGTGTCTTTTAGTTTGAGCATTTAAACTATTTCCATATAAGGTGATTATTGATAGGTATGTATTTAGTGCCATTTTATTGTTAGACTATTTACCTCAATTCTTTTCCTCTTTCTCTTTTTCTTCTTCTTAAAGCAAAGCCCTTTAAAATTTGTTGCACTACTGATTTCGTGTACATTACCTACTATCAAACTATACTATAAGGCCATATTTAATCAAAACAGCATGGTACTGACATAAAAACAGACACCTAGATCAATGGAACAGAATAGAGAGCCCAAAAATAAACCCACACCTTTATAGGCAATTAGTATTTGATAGAGGAAGCAAACACACACCATGAACTAAAGATAGTTTATTCAATAAACAGTGTTTGCAAAATTGGGCAGATAAATGTAGAAAAATGAAACTAGACTACCTTTTTAAATCGCACACAAGAATAAGTTCAAAATGTTTTAAAGACTTAAATGTTAAGACACAAAACTATAAAAATTGTAGAAGAAAACATAGGCAACAAAATTTTGGACATTGCTCATAGCAATTATTTTATCAAATATATCTCTCTAGGCAAGGGAAACAAAGTAAAAATAAACAAATGGGACTACATCAAATTAAAAAGTTTTTGCACAGCAAAGGAAAGCAGCAACAAAATAAAAAGACAGCCCACAGAATGGGAGAACATATGCACTGATACATCTGATAAGGAGTTAATGTCCCAAATTCATGAGGAACTTACACAACTCAACACCAAAAAATAACCTAATTAAAAAATGGGCAAAGGACCTGAATAGACACTTCTCCAAAAAGGACCTGCAGATAGCCAATAGACGTATGAAGACATGTTGAACATAACTAATCATCAGAGAAATGAAAATTGAAACCACAATTAGATACCATCTCACACCTGTCAGAATGGCTATCATCAATATATCAACAAAAGTACTGGTGAGGATGTGGATAAAGGGGAACCCTTTTGCACTGTTTTTGGGAATGTAATGTAGACTGGTGGAGCCACTGTGGAAAGCAGTATGGAGATACCTCCAAAAATTAAAAATGGATCTGCCTTTCAACCCAGCTGTCCACTTTTGGGAATATATATGAAGGAACCCAAAACACTAATTTGAAAGAGCATAAACAACCCTATGTTCATTGCAGCGTTATTTACAATCGCCAAGACATGGAAGCAGCCTAAGTGTCCACTAGTAGATGAGTGGATAAAACAACTATGGGACATTTACACAATGGAATACTACTCAGCTGTAAAAAAGGAAGTTTTACCCTTTGCAACAGTGTGGATGGACCTGGAGAACCCAAGTGAAATAAGCCTGCCAGAGAAAGATTAATACCATATGATTTCACTCATGTATGGAATCTGAAGAACAAACAGAACTAACAAGCAAAATAGAGACAGACTCATAGATAGAGAGCAGGCTGACAGCTGATGGGAAGAGGATAGGAGGTGGAGGGATTGAGCAAAAAGAAAAAGGACTGATGGACATGGACAACAGTGTGGTGATTGCAGGGGGGGGGGTGGAGAGGTTATATGGGGACTAAATAGTAATGGGAAAAAATACAATAGAAAAAATTATTAAAAAAAAAATAAAATACGTAGGAATAAATTTAACCAAGGAGGTAAAAAACCTGAACTTGGAAAATTATAAGACATTGAAGAAAGAAATTGAAGAAGATACAGATTAAGTGGGAGCACATACCATGCTCATGAATAGGAAGAGTTAACATCATTAAAACACTATCCAAGGCAATCTACAGATTCAACACAATTCCTATCAAGATACCAAATGGCGTATTTCACAGAACTAGAACAAATATTACAAAAATGTATATAGGACCACAAAAGGCCTTGAATATCCATAGCAATCCTGAGAAAGAACAAACTTGGAGGAAGCACACTACCTGATACCAGACTATACTACAAGACCCTAGAATCAAAACAGCATGGTACTGCCCTGACCAATGTGGCTCAGTTGTTTGCTTATCATCTTGCACAACAAAAGGTCACAGGTTTTGATTCCTGTTTAGGGCACATTCCTGGGTTGTGGGTTCATCCCTGTTTGGGACACATACAAGAGGCAACTGATCAGTGTTTCTCTCTCATGTTGATATTTCTCTCCCTCATTTTCTCCCCCTCTTCCCCTCTCTCTCTAAAAAGAAATCAACTAATTTTTTTTTTTTAAAACATCATGGTACTGGCATAAAAACAAACATAGATTAATGGAACAGAATAGGAAGCCCAGAAATATACCCACACCTTTATGGTCAATTAATATTTGAGAAAGGAGGCAAGAGCATACAGTGGGGTAAAGGCAGTCTATTCAATAAATGGTGCTGGGAAAATTGGACAGATACATGCAAAAAAGTAAACAGACCACTTTTATACACCATACATAAGAATAAACTCAAAATGGATTAAAGACTTAAATGTTAGACGTAAAACAATAAAAATCTTAGAAGAGAACATTGGCAGCAAAATCTCATACCCTTCTCATAGCATTATTTTTCCTGATATATCTCCTCAGGCAAGGGAAACAAAAGAAAAAATAAAGCAATAGGACATCAAACTAAAAAGTTTTTGCACAGCAGAGGGATCATCAAAACGAAAAGAGAACCCGCTGAATGGGAGAACATACTCTCCAATACATCTGGTAACAGGTTAATACACAAAATGTGTAAAGTACTTATAAAACTCAACACCAAAAAAACAATCTAATTGAAAAATGGGCAAAGGACCTGAATAGACACTTCTCCAGATACAGATGGCCAGTAGCCATATAAAAAGATGCTCAATGTCACTAATCATCAGAGAAATGCAAATTAAAACCACAATGAGGTATCACCTCACACCTGTCAGGATGGCTATCATTAATAAATCAATAAACAACAAGTGCTGGTGAGGATGTGGAGTAAAGGGAACGTTAGTGTGCTGTTGGTGGGAATGCAGATTGGTTCAGCCACTGTGGAAAACTGGAGTTTCCTCAAAAAATTAAAAATGGAACTGTCTTATGACCCAACAATTTCACTTCTGGGAATATTGCCAAAGAAACCTGAAACAGTAATTTGAAAGAATATATGCAGCCCTATATTCATTGTAAGATTTGGAAGCTGACCAAGTGCCCTTCAGTAAAAGAGTGGATTAAAAAAAGCTGTGGTACATTTACATGGTGTCATACCCCTTGGCCAAAAAAAAGAAGGAAATCTTACCTTTTACAACAGCATAGATGGAGTTGGAGAGCCTTATGCTAAGTGAAATAAGCTAGTCAGAGAAAGACAAGTACCATGTGATTTCACTTATATGTGGAATCTAATGAACAAAATAAACTAACAAACAATAGAAAGAGTCTTATAGATACAAAGAACAGACTGATAGCTGTCAGATGACGGGAAGGTTGGGAGGCTGGGTGAAAAGGTGAAGGGATTAAGCAAAAAAGCAAAAAACTCACAGACACATACAACTGCATGGTGATTACCAGAGGGGAAAAAGGGGGTGGGGGCAAGTAGAAGAGGGTAAAGGACTGATAAATGTTGATGGAAGGATACTTGTCTTTTAGTGATGAATACACAGTACAATATATAAGTGATATATTATAGAATTGCACACTCGAAGCCTATATAATTTTATTAACCAGTAGCACCCCAATAAATTCAATAAAAATTTTAAAATAAATAAATAAGAAAAATCCATAAGACATAGGTACTGCCTTCAGGGAACTCACTGTCTTTCTAGTTGGTGGAGGAAACAAATGTGCATGACCAGTTATAAAACAATAAAGTAGATATCTTGTGTCAGAAGGAGTAATGAGGCTGAGATAGTAGAAAACAGTGAACCTCACAACTGCAGCAATGCCAAGCAGAATGCTGGGCTGTAGTCTGATGCTGTATTGCAATGCTTAGGTTCTTTTTTTATTCTATTTTTTTAAACTGAGGAATAACACACATCCAATGTACATATGTTTAATGTATAGCTTGATGAATATTTACATGTAACCACCACTCAGATGCCAATTAGCACATTTCCAGCATCCTAGAAGGCTCCCTTATACCCTTTCCTAGTCATTACCACCTCTGAGATAACCACTATTCTCATTCCTGTCACCATATATAAATTTTGTCCCTTTTGAGCTTTATGTAAATGGAATCATGTATCTTAGGTTCTTATCTGGGCTAAAAGAGGAGTGGGGGGTAAGAATAACAGGACCAGATAAGCAATTTCTAAATAATAAGAAAGTTTTACTAATGAATGTGTTTTCCTGTATGTCTAAATCAGATCATTTTACCAAAGCTATGTAAACAAAAAGTTTGGTGATAATGGCAAGGAACGTAAACATGATAATTAAGGTTACTGCAACATTACCTATTAATTAGAAGGCACAGATTCCCCAGTAAACAGTGGTCTCAGGATGTTACCTTTGGCTGGTGCAGCCAACCGGAGATGAGGGGTGAAGGAATTAGGAAGAGGATTGGTTGACATCTTTTCCCTGATAAACTAACTGGTCAGAAGAGCTTTGCCACTTGGGGAACAGAGATTGCCTGGGATTGAGTGACTTGTGAAATAAAGTCCTAAAGAGACAAACCTCTTGCTGCAGATTGATTCCACCTTTTCTCATCAAACTTCTGTTTGGGATTTATTGATATTTACTTCCTCCGGTCCTGAAAGGATGGTGGGGCGAAGGAGGCAGGGGGAGGGAAGAGTAGGTACGGATCCCCTCATGCCTGCAACCTAAGGAAACAGCCAGTTAGAACATTTCACAGGATTCTTATGTTTTCCCTTCGTTCAGGTTGTTACTTTGGGACTGTGATGATCGAAGCTATAGCTACTACATTGAGGTTTCCACCAATCAGCAACAATGGACCATGGTGGCCGACAGAACTAAAGTCTCCTGCAAGTAAGTGACACCCTTTAAGGAATTTATTCCAATTTAAGGACAGTCTTTCTAATGAATCCAGAAGGTTCCAAGGAAGAGTCATAGAATGACCAAATTTTACCTTATTTGGAATTTGAAAACATTTTGATGATCACTTCAGTTTTGACTATTAAGTGCTTAAATGAGAATTTACTTTATATGACCAAACAAGTTCTCCTTATTTCATAATGTGAATTTTATTTTTGAAAATGGCACGCACCTATGCAGGAGAAAAAAAGATATTTTCCATATTCAATTCTGTCTTGTGTCCTCCCCCCCACATCTCACACTACCCCTTTGGGACTTGTTTCTTCCTTTGAGAATTTCACTGATGCAGTATGCACTTCAGTGGTTATTCTGGGACTCTATCCTATTCTCCACCCTCATACCACTCTCAGGGGTGGCTTTAAATATTTGTCTCATCTCCGTGTTAGCTACACTGTTATTCAAACTAAGGAAAGCTTGTACCTTGGGTTCTTTATTGGTGAGCGGGGCATTTCGTGCATAAGGCACTGGGTCTGTTTGAGCACCACCTGGCTGTTGGGGAAGCCAGGAGGAAGGATTCTGCTAGTTCTGACCAACCTAAAGTCATGCCTAGAATGAATATGTACATGTGTATATACCTATGTAGCTACTACTTAGATCAAAATTAGCATCTAGAGGGTTCCCTCATACCCTTTCCCAGTCATTACCTGAGAAGAGCTCAGTGCTTTTCGGTGTAGAGCCAGATTCTCTGAAAAGCAAGAAAAAGCAAATGGCTGAGATTTTTTAAAATTGAGATAATGATTCACATATCATAAATTTCACCCTTTTAAACCACACAGTTCTGTGGTTTTTAGTATATTCTCCATGCAACCACTACTATCTAATGTTGTAAAGTATTTTCATCATGCCCGAAAGAAACCTGCTGATCAGCAGTCTCCCATTTCCCTCCAGCTCCCTCAGCCCCAGCACTGAACAATCTACTTTAGGTTTCTGTGGATTTGAACATTCTGGATATTTCATATATAGGGAATCATAGCAAGTGATCTTTTGTTCCCAGCTTCTGTCACTTAGTATAATGTTTTCAAGGTTCATTTATGCTATAGCATGTATCAGTACTTCATTCCTTTTAATAACCAAATAGTTATTTCATCATATGAAGATATATATGTATATATCATACTTTGTTTATCCATTCATCAGTTGATGAACATTTGAATTATTTCACTTTTAGGCAATTATGTATAGTGCTGCTTTGAACATTCCTATACCGGTTTTTGTGTGAACATATGTTTTCAGTTCTTTTGGGTATAGAACTGGAGTAGAATTGCTGGGTGATATGGTAACTATGTTTATGTTTTTTAAGAACTGCTGAACTTTTCCACAACTGCTGTACCATTTTGCATTCCCACCAGCAATGTATGAGGATTCCAGTTTCTCCACATTCTTGCTAGTACTTGTTATTGTCTATCTTTTTGTTCATAGTCATCCTGGTGGGAATGAAGTAGCATCTTACTATGATTTTGATTTGTATTTTCTTGATGGCTAATGATGTTGAACATCTTTTCATGTACTATCTGGGCGAGAATTTGTAATAGCACTAATGATAGCTTGTTTGATGCAATGTCTGACACCCTTACCATTATTATAGTATTACCATGCAGCATGTTTATGTTGGCTAGGATAACACTTGCTAATGTAACAAATAGCGGCTTCAGCATTTCAGTGGCTTAACACAATAGTTTGTTTCTCAGTCATGTAACAATCAGTATGGGTGTTCCTGGTTGTCAAGTGGCTCTTCTCCACAGGTGATGGAGGAACCCAGGCATCAACCTTCTTGTGTATCTGCCATCACCTAGGGCCTTATCAGCATCACCTGCATCTAGCGGACAGCTAGGGAGAGAACAGAGAGAAAGTACATATGGTCGGTTCTAAATGGCCTGGGCTTTATGAACACCCCTTCTACTTGCATTACCTCAGAGAGAACTTGTCCGTTGCCACAGTCACACTAGTAGGGCTGGGAAACATGGTCATTTCCTGGCTTGTAGCCATTTGTGCCATAGCATAAGAAAACTAACAACTATTTAATAACTAGTATTCCAGTACTTTACATATTTTATCTTATTTTGTCCTGAATACGAAATACCTTGTGGGATATTGTCCTCATTTTATAAGGAGAAAATAAAGATTCTTTCTACTGTACTGCATTGCCTCCTAGAATTAATTTAAAAAAAAAAAAAGCTAAACCAAGATAAGTGATGAAAACTAGTAAATGAAGGGATTAACTTGTTTCCAAGCTCCCAGAACTCTTTTTATACAAGAGGAAGACCTTCAAGGCCCACGAACAGCTGCCCATTCATCTTTCCAGAGTCATTGCTTATTGGCTGTACAGCTCGCAGGCCAGATCCCCTGCCTCCTCAGTGCTTGCCATCTCGCACCGTCCCACCGGTTACCGTCACCCGCTGTGTCATTTCATCTGCTACAAACGGGATCCCTCACCTCTTTTTTTTATGTTCCCCTGATGAAGGTGTTCTACAATGCGGATTTTTTTATATAAGAATTGGCTGACTAACTACTGATTAGGTACATATCGTAATCATTTTATATTTATGTAAGTGTTTTTTCCTGATTCATTCATTCCCTTTCCCACTAGCTTTGCATTAAGTTATTAACATCTTATTTTTCTCTTTTTAATTTTCTGTTTCCATTAGTTGATAGATGTAAATACTTCATATGTTTTTAACTTTGTATGTTAGCACTTAGATGCTACAGCAGTAAGTGTTTTACACGTTAATAAATAAATAATATATGAGAAAAACAAGAGTAGTAGCAAGAAGTCAGGTGCCTATCAACCCTCCAGGAATCATTGGAATCAAAGGTTGTGGTTTTATGTTTATAGGCATAACCTCAGTCTACTGGGTTTTCCATTTTTGTGTTAGATCTTAAGAGTTATAATAGAAGATATGCAGATTTGATTTTAAAAAAAAGAAAGAAAAAAGAAAGCCTTTCCTTTTTAACTAGTATATTCCAAAATAGTCTATTAGCTTCAAGAATTGTAGCTTGCTTTTTATTGAAATAAAGAATGTGAGTCATGTTACAAATGAAATTCTATAGGATCTTTATAGATCACAGCTCAGCCTCTTGATGGTCAAGAAATAACGTGAGGGCAGATTTTTACAGTCCTCTGAAAAATACCTAGGAAATGAGATTCTCCCATGTTTCCATGTAAGTGCCTCTGCTCTTTGGGGGAGGGAGGGAGGGAGGGAAGAGAGAGAGAGAGAGAAAGAGAGACATTTCCTCACCCCTCACACCATTGCCTCTGGCAACCACCAATCTTTACTGTTTCTTTGAGTTGATTTTTGTTTGTTTAGATTCCACATGCAAGTAAGAACATTTGGTGTTTGTCTTTTCTCTCTTGGACTTATGTCACTTAGCAAAATGCCCTCAAGGTTTATCCATGTTGTCTCAAATGTATTGACTGACTTTATAAAATTACATTTTACCTCCTCTTTTTTCACATAATCTAATCGGGATTAGATTATCCTTTAGCCTTATTTCAAAAAACTTCACTTTCCAATTTTTTATTCCTTTTCTGCACTGTTTTCTAAATTGTTGAACCCTAAGTCTGTATCAATACAAGAAGGTACAGACATTAGTCTTTTTATTATCAATGTAAAACATGCACATGGAAAATTCATTGAAACAATAGAAAACATATAAACAAAAAGTAAAATTTTACCTCCCCATCTTCTGTTCCATTCCTCAGAAGTAACTACTTCTATTTTTTTTTGTTTTTGTAACTTCTCAACTGTAAATATAGAATATCTCTGTTTATTAACTTATCAGCTTTACTAACACCATGCTAAAAAATAAGGAATTTAGCTTACTAAACCACTGCTTTTTTAAAAATTTATTGATTTTAGACAGAGAGAGGAAAGGGAAGAGGGGGAGAAACATTGATTTGTTGTTTTACTTATGCGTGCACTCATTGGTTGATTCTTACATGTGCCCTGACCAGGGATCAAACCCACAACCTTTGCGTATTAGGATGATGCTATAACCAAATGAACTAGAGGTCCATGGCACCACTCCTTATTCTTGTTAGTTTTTGTTGTGGTTGTTCTGCTATTACTTACCTTTTAAAATTAAGTAATATGCTTAAATCTCTGTTTTTTGATCCATCAATTGTGGACAGTATTTCTTTACTCCCTATTATGTTAATAAAGAAATTACCATCCCTTCATTTCTCTGTCTCTCCCCATCTTCTGTTAGCTGTCCTACCACATTGACAGTGTAAAGATTTATGATATTTATCTTTCTGTTCTGTAACTTACAGGTACATCTTCTGTGTATTAAGTATAAATTGATCCTAAAAAGGTAAAGCCACTAAGAACTCAATATAATAAGATGACTATATAACCGTTGCTCCCTACAGATCTGTAATGAGGGAAGTATTCAATGTCACTGAAATTATACCCCTCTTGGAAGAATTGTATTGTGTTCACATCAGGTAGATTCGATTTTCTTACAAGTGCTCAGGATTATTCCACAAATAATAAATAAATAGCTTTATAGCCAGCTTTTTCTTTTTCTGGAGTTCCTAGTTGCTCCCCCCGCCCCGCTCCCTGCCCCGTTTCAGAAGCTTCTGTTTGACCATTGTTTAGTTTTTGAACAGACTGCTTCCTAGGCTCAATCTATAGCTATGATCCTAAAATTTATTTTTCTTTTGTATCTGGGTTGGTTCCATTGTTTCTTAGATTTCTTTTTCTTTTGGAGAATATGGATAAAGGGTTAATAACAAAGCCCTTTTTTCCTTTGCAGGAGATATTGACCTGGGACCCAATTGGTTATCTTTCCAGATCTGTCCCCTGAAAACCTGATAGGTGTGGAATATCAGCTGTACATTAGGCACTATTGTTTATGATAATGATTGGTAAATGCACCTGATCTGGAAGGACTGTAAATATTTACTTGAAAGCCATAGCTTTGAATTTTCTGAG